TCTTTCTGCTAAAGATTGTTTTTGCTACTTGGGGTTTTTATTGTTCTATAAGAATTTTGGAACTGCTTCTTCTATTACATTGAAGAGGTTGGCATATTACTAGGTACCCATTATTTGTTATACAAACCTTTCTCACCACTTCCAAAATTCTGACAAGTACAGAAATTGAGAATGATCTAGTTAGCAAAAGCATGATAATTGGTCGTTTTCATAGTATAGTGGTATTTCCCTGCTCTGATGTGTTGTTTGCTCATGGACCAACTTGCCAGGACATCAATGTGTTAATATTTGACTTTATAACCATCTCAGCATATCAGCACACCTGTAAAGTGTTCACTTCTGTCTTGCTAATCATTTTTCCTTGTTCAAACTGAATGACTTGCTAACCATTTTTCCTTGTTCAAACTGAATGGCATTGAGTTGTTATTAATAACGTGGTAGTTTTACATTTGAAACAAGGAATTTATTTATGTGTCCTAAACTGGATAAATTCCCAGCTAACACGAGTTAGCATGGGCTATAATAAGTTTTCAACATGACAGCGACATGAGAGATTTTAAACAATGCAGACAAAAGCAGGCAAGTTCTGAGTGATCTGTGGATATTAGTTCCTCATTATATGTGTTTCCCATAAAACTAATTCCTTCTGTGAGAGCTAATTATGAAAAATATAAATGTGTCTTTTCACAACCTCTTAAATCTATTTCTCATTATTGAAGAAGTCTATTTTCCTAGCTGTCAATGGCCTGTTTTTGTCTGTTTTATCCACAACTAATTCATTAAGCTGAATAGCTTATTAAAAAGTATTAAATGCATATGCCAGGATTGGAATATACCTGCTTTACTCACAGAGCCTTACTCAAAGTTAAAATTTTCTCCACTTAGTTTGTTGTAAAGTAACCAATACTGTAATCTCACCATATAAATTCTAGTTTGATTTCTGAGATTATTAAACTTGTGTGTGTAGCCCTTTATATTATTAAGCAACTTACTGGCACCCTAACAGGGACATGAATATGATGAAAATCTAGAAAATGATCTCAGTCAAGTTAAACATATCGCTGACAGTAAGAAACTTTGAGCTGGGTGTTGGTGACTCAAACATGAAATTCGAGCTACTTGGGAGGTTAAGATTGGGAGGATCATGATTGGAGGTCAGCCAAGGCCAAAGTTCTCAAGACCCTTTCTCTATCCACAGCTAGGCATAGTGGTGTGAGCCTATCAATTTAGCTACACGAGAGGTTCAGATCTGTAGAATTTCAGCTCCAGGACTTCCAAGCAGAAAAGCCTGCTTTTGAGCTTCCTCAAAATGAGCAGAGGGTCATGGGCTTGAGAATGCTAGAGTGCTTGTCTTGCAGAACAAGGCCTTGAGTATAAGACCCAGTACAAATGTGGGGAAGCCAGGAGACCTGGGTGAAGGTGCTTGTTTGGCCTAAAGAACCAATCATCAGTGAACCTCCTAATATAACTCACCAACGCGGGAACCAAAGTAGTATCTGACCTATCTACTCAATTAATCAAAAAGGAAGATGAAAACAGCATAGAAATTGGAAACTTTCAGCCACGTGCTGGTGGTGGGTTCCTGCCTATAATCCTACCAACTTAGGAAGCTGAGATTTGAGGAACACAGTTTGAAGCTAACCTCAGCAGAAAAGTCTATGACACTCTACTTCCAATTAACCAACAATGAGCCAGGCAGGGGGCAAAGAGAGCCAGCTGTGAACAAACAAGTTGACCAAGAGTGCAAAGCCTGGAGTTCAAGGCCTGGTACTGACAGAAAAAAAATATATCATTGCTGATATTACTGTCATGATCTACAAAACATCATTATACAATAGAAAATGATGACAGAAATACAAATAGCACCATATTTTGATAATTCCTCCCAACAACAATAACAAAAATTCCAACTGGAACATATGCTCAGAAGGAAGAGCAGATAGAATAAATGAACAGAATACACATTCTAGAATCGTAAAAACTGGCACACACAAAAAAGAGGCCAACAGAAAGAAACACTGTCTTTAAAATCATAAAATCTCAGAGCCAATGCCTTTTGACAGGTTCACAGAACACTCTGTGTGGAAAACCTCGGATGCCTAAAGCAAGAAGGTTCAGAATAAAAAAGGAAATGCAGTTTTGCATAGTAAGTCTAATTTTGAAAGTGCTCATCCTGCGAGGTTGTACAGGAACATAGCTCAGGAAGCAGCATACAGGAGGAGGTGGGGGAAACAAATAAAAATACTCCACAAAATATGG